ATAATTATAGTCATAAATATGCTTTTCTCTCAGTGCGATATTTGAGAAATTTTAATACGATCATTTAAAAGATAAAATGATCCTGCCATAAAAAGCATTTTGTATATATAATCCATTCGATATTAAATTTATTTAATTACAAGTTACTAATAAGTTTATTTGAAAACAGCTGTTTCTGAAACTAATCTCCATCTGAAAGTATGTAACATGCAGTAAGTATATTAAAAGTATAATATTATTACTTAAACAGCAGAAATGTATCTTTAAATATTCCAATATGCGAAAGCTTACAGAGACGCATAAAAATGCAAAGGCCGTGTAAAAATGAAGGCGCGCCTGCAATAAAATCTCGAGAGTTCTCACAAGCTCGGTTCGCGTTAAGGAAAGTACATCTGGCAAATATTGATCGTAACAATCTGCGCTTTACATCGCTGCACTTCTCGCGTACGAGATGCATTCCTGTAGTAAACGGCGAAACGGACGCGAGAGAACGGACGGAAAATAAAATAAAATCTCCTCTCTTGAGCGAACGCCCCCGTATGTATGCGGTCGGTCGCGGAAATCTCGTCTCTTCGCGCGAGAGACTTTTGGTAACACGGTTTTGGTAGCCAAGAACGCGAGTTGTCGGAAAAGATTGCTCGACCGAGCGTCACGCAAAAACTTTCACAAGTTCCATTTCGCGAGACGCATACAAAATCCCCTCCATCTCTTTTCTTTCACAGACGCCGACAGACTTTCTTTAATATTGCGAGAATTTTAAAGTTAGCTGCGGATGCTGCGAACTCGAAACGCAAATTTCTAAATATCTCAGAAGACACGCAAAGTAATACGGTATATTGTAATTTGTATTATAAAAAATTGCTTTGAACGGAAAATTTTTTACAAAACTACAGCAACAATTTTTTAATTGGTGTATTCTTCTCAATTTATTTTTGCTCAAATTTTATAATATTGCGTTACTTGTTGCATTAAAATATTTAAATAATAACGATAATTTTTTGTTATCGCGCGAATTTTTGTATTTAGATAAAGTTAAACGATAGTGCTCTTCACGCGCAGTGAAACGTAAAAAAATGGCGCCAATGTTGAATTTGGAATCGATCCAACAATCCAACAATGTTAAATTCCCGAACATCGCGCTCGTCGATTGTTATGTCTAACTTCAAATGTACGTAGCTTTTTGATTTTTATCTGTGGATTATATAAAAACACTTTCCAATATCTGACCTAGCGTAGTCACCGTAAATATTTCAACGCCAACTTTCCGCGCGCGTGAGTAACATTTCACGAAATCGTTTCCTCGATCAAAAATATATAAAGAAAATCGGGAGATTTATTAGGCTATATTTTTAAATTCCACGCACGTTGATTAATGGAATTCCTTAGTATAATACGTTTTAATTTTTTTGTTCAATTAGATCGATAACATTTGATTCAATTTGATTCAACATATTTGCTCTTTCACTATGTTCTCTCGAATTTTAACATTCTCGATCACTAACTTTGGCATAAGGATAGAATACAAAATATATATAGATAAAAATTATGTTTATTCATTTAAATTATTAATAAAAATTATTATCTTACAGATCCTCACGTTACAATGTACTTTACTTTTTAATTAATAAATCAGAAAATTCTAAAGATTGCAAGTATAACACACATTCTACAATAAGTCATTAGTAATAAATCAGAAACCGGAAGCTAGAAAATCGGCCATCATACTCAATTATTCTTCTTACATTTGACTATGAGTGGTCAACTTTTAGCTTCTGACTTCCGATTTATTATTAATATTGCTTATTCCAGAATGGCCATTATATTTTCAATATTGTTTATATTTAAATTGTAATATGTTAACAATGTATATACGTTGTCAAATTATAGCTACATCGCACGAAGGTAATGTTCAGTATGTTATCCAACAACAGTATGTTGCCCACGACGTATGCGAGTGCTTTGTACCGGAAACAGAGTCAGCAAGCATGAGCGGACTCACAGAGTTTCGTGTTTCGGCGAACTTTCGAGGGAATGCTTGCCGAATGAAAATGGCGTGTGCTTCCGTTCTGGACGTGGAACGCACGATTTCCGCCGGATGTTCCGCAGACATCTGCCCTATGATTTACCCCAAACGATCATCGTTCAAACGCCGCTCAATACGCGTCCCACTCTGTGTACATGCAAGATATGTTTCTCACCCATATAGTTAATGTCAGCAACTTGTACAGGACGATCCAGAAATACCGCGAAAACTTCCAGTATATATCAAGGCCGAAGAATAAAGATAAAAAGTATCTACGCACTGAAAGAAAAATTCTTCATATTTGTGACTAATTACATGTTATCACAATTATTATTGCTGTAATATTAGTAGCTGTAACAATAACCGTGTATATGATTCTATCGACAAATGTGTACAATTGGCGATCCGAAAATGTCTATAGTTATTATAACCATAAAAGTAATTTCAATTACTATAATTTAATTATAATTGTAGTCATTTTTTTATTGTCAACTGTATGTGTCATTACTAAAATTATAACAATAATAATCGCAATTATTATAATCTGTAATTACTATCACATTACTACCAAAAATTTTTCTCTCGGTGCATCTAGTGTTTATTATTTAAGAATCTCAAAATTTCCGGATCTGAAAATCGCAGATCACATAAAACGATTTGGATAATCTTGAAAATCTCATATTCTTGCATTTACAAAAGAACCTGCATTTTTACATTTTCAATATTTTTAATGTTGAGCCGCATCATATTAAAATTTGAAATTCTTGGATTATAAAAGTCTAAACGTCTGAAAGAATTTCTACGGTTCCACGATTTCCAAGTCCTTTGGATTCTGCGTCTTTGCCGCGTCGAGACGGCGAACGTATTTGCATTTTCGGACAGTCAGATCTCAGAGAGAGTCGGTAATTCTTTTCTGGTGGACTCCTGAGTTCTGATATCCGGAGATTTCAGGATTTTCGAGATCCTCGTGCGAGCGTCTCGCATCTCGGCCACTTGCCAGACTCCCGGTGAGATGGTATTTCCGGATCGTCCGGTACAGCATGTTTTCGCACGCCTCATCGCCCAGTACTACCAGCAGAAGTTAGTTCTGTTTCCGTTCCACCAACCCTGACCTGCATTCTCAAACGGCCACGTATGTAACGTATATCAAAAAAGCAGAGCGCTGGCCGGTAGAATACCATCACAACCGCTGGTATGTTCTTTATTCCGCTCTTTTATATACCCGTACAACCGCGATCAATCGATACAAAGCGCACGTGTCAACCAATTGACGAACAAGGAGCACGATTTCATCCCAACTCAATTACGCAAACGAGATCGAAAACGCGTTAAAATTATTATTCGTTGCTGACAGGCCGTTTTTCTTTTTCTTTTTTTTTTTTAGATCTTTAATCGTGAACTACATTCTCTAATTAATTGATAATGTTGAACTTGTATAGTTTGAGATCTCTTCTCGTATTTCTTCAATTTTTCCGATTCATAATTTTTTTCAATTTATTTAACAAAGAACGTTCTTTTAGAT